TATATATTGGCACAGTCGGGTATGCCCAGAGGGGGCGTTGCTAATCGGTCAAAATCGATAACTTTACAGCTGTAGAAATTTTATGATGAAGATTTCTAGGTCTCATCACTCTGGGCAGAATCTATAGACTTTTGTGAGTGTATCCCTAGACAAACATACCTAAATATTATTTATACACAGACTGTGAGGCGTGATATAACAGATAAAAAATATATAATACACATAAAAAAAGAACTATTAACTTACTAGCAAAGCTGCTTATAAAAATCCATTTAGTACAAACTTCGAACCACAAATAGTAAATGTATTTGGCTGAGTATTAAGCAGTCAGTTACTCCCCATTTTTTGCTTAAGTTCTTATAGCTCAAATACCTCAACTCAATTGTGCTTTTCACGATTCTAAGTTTCGCTATATACTATATATATACTATCTGAAGCATTTATCTAATCATTCCTTTTTTTGCACAGTAAATAAAAGTTATTAAATTTATAATTTTACTTTTGTTTCCTCAATAGCTGGCTAAGTTTTAATTGAAAACTTTTTTTTTTCCTCTTCTTTTTTGTATGTTGAAAAGTTTTTACGAATTATGTAGCAGAGAACTTTGATTGCACGCGTCACTAATTCAATGAAATGAATTAAAATTAATTGAAAAAGTCAAGAGGTTAAACAAGTCGAGTCAAGTGTGGAGAACAAAAAAAAAAAAATGCATCATATCAATTAGGGAAACAATTTTTGGATATGAATTATCTTATGCAACTCATATAATAAGCATGATAAGATAATTGATATATGTTGCTCTATCTCTTTACAGCGCTTGGAGTTTGATCGCGAGGGTCTGACGAAGCTAAAGAAGGCCGTGAAAGCCATACACAACTCTGGCAATAGTAAGTGACACATTGTAATTCGGATTTATTTGATTCATATATTAATTTATATATTTTTGTTCATTCATTTAGCTCATGTGGACAATGAAATGTTTATGGTGCGCGCGTTGGAGCGCTTGGGCGGCAAGGTCATTGATCAGGATGAGCCCGATATTGGGGCGGCGTTTCTCAAGTTCTCCGTGGTCACCAAAGAGCTCAGTGCGCTAATGAAAACACTGGTAAGGGGTGGATTTAACTTATATGTATACATACATACATACATTACATATATACATATATACATATATATGACTTATAGATAAGCCTTATTGCTTTGAAGTTTACAATAGCTGATAAAGCTTATGAAGTGAGCATTTTGTATTAGAACTGTAAGCGTAATTTTGATCGATTAAGCATAAAACACATTTATAATATTAATGGGAATTTACTTAAGTCCATGTCAAAGTTACTGTCAAGTGATCTGTTTGCTAGCTTTGTCAACTTTCAATGTTTGTTCGCACTGTAACACAATAAAAATCCAATTAAAAGCAATAGAACTATGAAGTAACGTGTGAATGCTAAATAGGCTAGCGTCAGTTGAATGAAGGAAACTTAGTGTTAAATTCTGTAAAACTATAAAATATTTATTGCTTGATGATCATTTTTACTGTACACATTGTAAACCTTACATCCAGTAAACTAGATACAAGATAAAAATGCTAACATCTAAGACTCTACGCCTGATTTTAAAGGATCATTGTAAGCTTCCAGTCAAGTAACAAGGAGCATTCTATAGCATTTGGCAAGTTAGAAATGCTGCGCACTAGGCAACATATTGAGTTAGCCACCAACATTAAGCAAATAAAAGACTTCAACTTAAACTAAGTAAATTAAACTAAGTTAAACACAGTTTTGACTCTATGAAATTCACGATAAGCACTCAAAAAGAAATCTTAAAACTTTGAGTATACTTTAAAAGTGACTTTTAAGTTAACCCTGAGTCTTATCTTATCCCACTTTCACTTGGCAGATGCAAAACATCAACAACATTGTCATGTTTCCGGTGGACTCGATGCTGAAGAGCGAGCTGCGCGGCGTTAAGGGCGATATGAAGCGGCCATTTGATAAGGCGGCCAAAGACTACGAGGCCAAGTTTATCAAAATCGAGAAGGAGAAAAAGGCCCAGGCGAAGGAGGCGGGCATGGTGCGCACGGAGATCGACGCTGCCGTTGTGGCGGATGAAATGGAAAAGGAGCGCAGACTCTATCAGCTGCAGACCTGCGAGTATCTGCTGAAATACAAAGAGATCAAAACAAAAACTGGCATTGAGCTGCTGCAGCACTTCATCGAGTATTATCACGCGCTGAATAAGTAAGTTTCGCTGAGCAGGCTAAGCTACGAAAACCTGCTGAGCTGCATGCTAATTGGCCGCTTTGCTTTTGTTTGTTTTGTTTACGGCTCGATTGTGTACGCCTTTATATAATCGAATTTATTGACATTGCAGTTACTTCAAAGATGGCTTGCAAACGATCGAACACTTTGGCACGTACATCGGCGATCTGAGCGATAAGTTGCATGTGATCAAGCAGAAGCAGGACGAGGACAGGCGCAGTCTGTTGGATCTGCGAACATTGTTGCGCAGCACGCCGGACTTCGAGCGTGTGGACAATGCGCAGTCATCGGAGAATCGCAGTGGTGGAGCGGGTGCCGGTTACTCGCTCCATCAGCTCCAGGGCGACAAGCATCATGGTGTAACACGGCAGGGACATCTGCTGAAGAAGAGCGAAGGCAAAGTGCGGCGGGTGTGGCAGAAGCGACGCTGCCGGGTCACCAGTGATGGCTTCTTGGATATATTCCATGCAGACGAATCGAAGCCGCCGACGCGTGTTAATCTGCTCACCTGTCAGATAAAGCCGGTGCCAGATGATAAGCGTGGTTTCGACTTAATCAGCTGTAAGCCATGCTCAAATTGTAAATTCCGGATAACATATTAATATTCTCTAATTTCCCTTAGACAATCGTCCGTATCATTTTCAAGCGGAGGACGAATCGGATCAGAAGGCTTGGATGGCAGTATTAGTGAATTGCAAGGAGAAGGCCCTAACTAAGGCCTTCCAGCATGCCAATCCGCAAATGAGTCCCAGCTTGGTGGAGCTACAAAAGACAGTGATTAAATATGTGCAGCTATTGCCGGGCAACGATCGCTGCTGCGATTGTGGATCTCGCAACGATGTCACCTGGATCAGTCTGAACTTTGGCATACTCGTCTGCATACAGTGCTCGGGCGTGCATCGGGATCTAGGCGTGCATCATTCGCGCATCCAAAGTCTTACGCTAGACAATCTAACAACGGCCAATCTGTTGATAGCACGCGCCATGGGCAACAGCACGTTGAATGACATTATGGAAGCCAAGTTGGGCAGGGGCAAGCTTAACCACGACAGCAGCATGTAAGCTAATCAGTTGCAGTCCTTTGGTTATACATATTTAATCTGCTTTTGCATTTGCAGGGAGGAGCGATACGATTTCATACGCGCCAAATATGTGGCCAAGCGTTATGTGATGCGCACCTGCTCCGATGACAATGATCTGCGCTGCGATCTGGAGCAGGCCATTGTCAATGCGGACATGAGTCAGCTGCTGCAGGTGTGGGCCGAGGGCGCCGATCTCACCTGCTGTTTGCCCAGCTCCGATGCGGGCGAAACAGCTCTCCATTTGGCTGTGCTACGCGAGGCCGGCTCCACGCTTCACATTGTCGATTTTCTAATACAGAATATGCCGCCCAAGGGCCTGAATAAGGCCACCAATCCGGCCGGTGTGCTAGATGTGACGGGCAAGAATACGCCCTTGCATCTTTGTGCGCTACACGATCGTCGCGAATGTATGAAGCTGCTCTTGCGCTCAGGCGCTGACTACGAGCTGCGCAATTCACAGAACAAAACAGCGCTGGATATTGCCAAAGAGATGGGTCACAATAGCTGCAAGGAGCTGGTAAGCCAATAGTTAAAAAATATAATGCAATTTCGGTCCCAAAACTCGCTTTCATTATCCAGATTGAGTGTGCCATAAAGCGAGAGAAGAGCGCCTTTGATCACATCAACACAGACTGGAATCTGCCCAACGAGGACGGCTCTACAGATTTCAGCGATGATGAAACTGTCATAGATGAGCGCGTAAGTATATATAGGATTATATATAGATATTGTTTCAGAACTTACCATAAGTCACAAAGTATTTCAACTCTTTGCAGAAATCGCGTTCACGTCCGCCGAGCTTTGCTGGTGGCGATTCGCCAGTGTTGCGCTCCCGATCATCGACTTGCGATTCAATACAGTCCAGTTCTAGTCCAATTGCCAATTGTCCAAGCCGACAGTTTACGTTGCCCAGCTATACGCAGTCGGCGGGCACATCGCCCAAACAGCACACGAATGTTGGCCAATATCTGGGAAGTGGCAACAGTTTGGGCGTGGTCAGCAGCAGCAATAACAATAGCAACAGCGGCAACGGCGGTGGCTCCAGTCCCAGCTCGGCGTGCAGCCAGAATATGCGTGGCACTCGGAACAGCTTGAACATGCAGAGCGAGCTGGGTCATGTGACAGGGGCCCGAAAGTCTACGTCCACAGCCAATATGAACTCACTGAAGAAGCGCACAGCGCCAGCACCGCCGCCCGGTACTCCGGCCAGTATATTCTATGGCACACTGCCACATCCGCCCAGGCATTCACAGAATATGGATGCCAACGATATTCGCTCTATCAATCATAAGAATCAGTCCATGGATGCGTATGGCACGCTGCCGCACATGCGGAGCATGGAGAGCTCACCAAGGATAACAGGCGGCGTTAGTGGAAGTGGTGGAGGTGGTGGTGGTGCAGGTTCTGGCAATGGCAGCAACAACAGCTTAATGCCCATGACAACCTTTGGCCATAAACGTTCGCCCAGTGGAGAATCATTGAATCGTAATATTCATCTAGCGGGCGCTAAGCTCGTGCTGCCGCCCACTGGAGAGCTGCCCACACTCAAACATGTGGATAAATCGGCGCTGATGAGACCCAAAATACCACCGCCCGGTCCGCCAGCAGGTAAACCTTACCATCTCTTATTTTTAAACAAATAGAATAATAGTTTTCTCTTGAACTCCTGCAGAACGTGAGATACCAAATGGACAATCGAATGAGAGCATCAGCTCTATGGAAGAGGGTCCAATCGCACCGCCACGGAAGGTAAGTTGCTTGCATCCTTGTCGTACCGTTCTCGAAGACAAGGAAGAGGCGCGCGCGTGCTTAGTTATTTTTTTTATGATCAATGTATCCATGTGTATATCTCCTGTAATTCCAACAAATTTCAGCGCAAGCAACAGAACTTGTTGAGATTAGAGCATTCCAGCGAGGAAACGGTAAATGTCAGAGACAACTCAATCAATTCAAAACAAATCAAATCAAACAAACTTATGCCGTTCTTGTTGTTGTTCTGTTCCTTGTTTATTTATATCTATAAATTATATTATATATATATATCTATATACCTAATTTTGATTGTTTTTACTAAATATGTGCCGTGTGCATCTTCTCTAGAGCTCTTCTAACTCCAATCGCGCATACTCAAAAAACTCAAAATCAAACTCAAACAACCCAAAACTTTTGTCTGTTTATCTTCTATGTTTTTAATAATATTTGTTGCACTAACTGAGACATTGTATTTGATTATTTATTTTTTATTAATTTAACTAATTGAACTCTTTGTTTTGCTTAGCTCATCAATCAATCAGCCAATTTTACGGATTATGAGTCGTGGCACACGGATATGGACTCGTCTGGCGGCGGCCTGGATCATTCCGCCGACTCGAATATTTCTTCTAGCGACAATGATAGGCTAAACAGCTCGCCCGATAATCAACTGAAGAATGCAAGTGGTTCCGTTTCCAAATTGCATTATGTAAGCCGTTATATATATTTATAAATATTAATGAAATTATTATTATACATGTTATGCATCCCTTAGAATGGCCAACGTCGCTGTCGAGCGCTTTACGATTGCGTTGCGGACAATGATGATGAACTGGAGTTTAAGGAAGGTGAAATATTGATTGTGCTCAATGAGCGAACCGATGACGAGAATTGGATGGAGGGCATCATAGAGGGGCATCCGGCACGGCGCGGCATGTTCCCCGTTAGCTTTGTACATATGCTGCCCGACTAAAAGGGGCAGCTTAACTGTCCTGTTCGTCTGTACAACTGTGTGAGAGTATGATTGTCGAGGTGTGCGAGTGTGTGTGTGCGTGTGCGAGTGTGCATTTGTATGGTTGCGTGCATGTATTATACAAAAAAGAAAGAAGATATTATTTATTACACTTTTTAATCGCAAACAACTACAATTATATGTATTATTATTTTTTTTTTATTATTTTGGTTTATTTTGTTGTGCTATCAACGCAAACCAAATCATTTATAAAATTCTCTATTATTATTATAATTTTTTGTAAAAAAAAAACCTATTTAAAGTATACTAAATTTATATGTAAACACTTACTGTGTATATCTAAATCGATATTGCTACAATTTTATAAAGCATATACTATAAGTAGGCGCCGCTTTGAATTGCTTTTACAACTGAATATGTCCTGCAAATGTGTTATAGGCTATAATTTATAGCTAAACCTACTCATTATCATCCTATCCTATGGTATATTTATTTAAGTTTACTTGCTAGCCCAAAAAATGAAAAAACAAAAAACAAAAAGTCTATCTCCCAATGCTGTAAAAAAAAAACTAATGCAAGATTTGTGTGTTTAAATGGAATATCGAAATCGATGAAATTAGGTATTGATAAATGCTTAACAATACGCTGCCATATACAGATATATATATATATAAATATGTATTAACAATAAAAAAGCCGACCTGGTCTGGCTTTACAAATTATATAGAACGCGTACACAAATTATGTAATACTGTTGATGGATTTAAATGAAAGTTTATAAAACAACGTTAATAAACAAAAGAAGGTTTACTCAGATTAAAGCTTAACTCAATTGCAAACGTAAAACTAAAGCCCAAATGCTAAGAACATATTTAAAAATATTAATTATAATATACATAAAGTTCTTAAAACGATAAGTCAACATTTCAACCCTCTGTACCTAGAAGTTGTTACCAATTAAGCACACATATATAATATATAAATCTAATTCCAAAGCGAGCTGTCGAAGGAATGGAGCAGGAAGGAAGGAAGGAAGGAGAAACATAGAGTGCTGGACTTGTTTGACTTTGTTGTATACCACACACATCATCATTATGTATATGTAAACTGTAGATACAATTTTTGTTTAATGTACACGCCACCCTTTACATTTTGTATACACGTTTCAGTATTTATTTTAGCAAAACCTTAATATTACTTTATAAAACATATTTGATATTATATTTAAGACAAATAAAAGAAAAACTCAACGCTTATTACATATATACATACATATAAGGTGTTTTTACCAAAAACAAAATCTATGTTTGAATGAAACGGTAAATGATGACCGGGTAAACGGGTATGAGTGAACTAGCTAACTCATCATACAGGTTACGCATGGTCGTGCTGTCATACGTTCGCACATAGTTCATTCTATCGGATAGGTATCGATATTGGTGCAATTGCCGTGTGCGGTATAGAATTGTGGTGGTATGTAAATATATTATCGATTACTGTCACTAATCTCCAATGCATAAATTGAGCTGTGCAGTGCAAATAAAGAATTAACGCGTAAATAGTAATCATTATCTTTGCCTGTTGGAATTTTAGTGCCCGGTCACAATAAGTCACTTGAACTTTAATAAAGAAAGTGCCTTTTACCAAAGCTATTCGTTTATTGCCGATGGCGACACTGAGAAGTGTGCAAAACTAGCGAAAGGCATTTTCTATCGATATCGTCGGATTTGTTTAGCACTAGCACGGGGTAAATTTATGCCAATACGAGTGCAATTTTTTTTTTTCGTTTGATTATCACCAAAAACTTATAAATTTGGGAGCAGTATAATCTTTAGGGTGACAGTGCTCAGAGCAGGCGAGTGTCTGGTCAGCAGTAGTCATCTGCAATCGTCATCGCCAACGCCAGCGCCGTGAGCACATCCAGCTCCAGCGCATTGGGCACCGCACACTCATTCCAAGCAATGAGTGCAGCAAAGAAATACAAACTCATGGATACGACTGAACTGCACGACACCGAGAATATTGCCTCCTGCCTGAAAAAGGGGGACAACGGCAGCAGCAACGCAACGACTGGGAGCAACCTTGGCCGTAGCGCCTTCGCTGCCCAAAATATGAATTCAGCAGCGTCCACAAACGGCGAACGATTGCCAAATTTTTCGAAATTGGGCTCGCATCATGGCAGCGATATGCGTTCGGCATCAACTACCTCAAATCTGCTTAATCGGATGGGCGCCATACACAACACCAAGCCGGGTGATGTCAAAAAGATAGTTATTAAGAACTTTAAGGGTAAGCATTAAGCATTCATTGAGTGAGCCCCTATAAGGATGAGCGATATACGATAACGATTCACATACCATTTACATATACTCGTTATAGCTAAACCCACACTGCCCGATAACTATTCAGAGGACACTTATGTGAAACTTGAGGAGGCCGTTATCGCTATTCAATTATCAAAGCCCATCAAATATTCACTGGAGGAGCTCTACCAGGCCGTTGTAAATATGTGCAGTCATAAAATGGATGCACAGCTATATATAAAATTGATGGAGCTAACCGAGCAGCACGTCAAAAGAAACATCAAACTTAAAGAGCTAACTGGCGGAAGCATGGATAAACTGGTAAGTGAAGCCAACTGAGGACCAATCGTCGATTATATTGCACTTAAATTGTTTTTAGGTTTTGCTGGAAAAGATCAACAATTGGTGGCTATCGTTTTGTCAGCAAATGATCATGATACGTAGCATATTTCTATATATGGATCGGACTTATGTGCTGCAAAATTCGTCCATACACTCTATTTGGGACATGGGGCTGGACCTCTTTCGCATACACTTTGCCCAGAATAGCGTCGTGCAGAAACGCACCGTTGATGGTTTACTGACGCTGATCGAAAAGGAACGCCAGGGCTCAACAGTCGATCGTGGATTGCTCAAGAGTTTAGTGCGTATGCTGTGCGATCTGCAGATATATAGCAGTGCGTTTGAGGAAAAGTTCCTGGATGCGACCAATCAACTGTACAAGGCTGAGAGTCAACGAAAGATGCAGGAATTGGAGGTGCCCGAGTACTTACAGCATGTGAGCAAGCGACTGGCCGAGGAGAATGAGCGTCTGTTGCACTATCTGGACTCCAGCACAAAGTATGCTTTATAATATATATATTTATTTCCTATCAATTAATTTCATTGAATGCTCTTCCAGACATCCTTTAATATATAATGTGGAAAAGGAACTGCTTGCCGAACACTTAACAACCATTCTGCAAAAGGGCCTTGACTCCCTTCTAGAGGACAACAGACTGAACGATCTAACCCTTTTGTATGGCCTGCTTAGTCGCGTCAAAAACGGCACTTCCGAGCTATGCGGCAACTTTAATGGTTACATCAAGGTATGGCGAACCAAGTGCATTAAATTTGCAATTTATTTACACATCACACTCTCTTATATATTGTAGAAAAAAGGACGCACTATTGTCATTGATCCCGAGAAGGATAAGAGTATGGTGCAAGATCTGTTGGACTTCAAGGATAAAATGGATGTTATTGTCCGCACTTGCTTTGAGCATAATGAGAAATTCACAAATTCGTTGCGAGAAGCCTTCGAATTCTTCATCAATCAGCGCGCCAACAAGCCCGCTGAGCTTATTGGTATGTTTTCTTTGTCTCTATTGTTGTTTATATATAAATAGACAACCAATGTCGCAATATGCTTATGTTTATATATACAAATCTTTGTAGCTAAATATGTGGATATGAAATTGCGCTCTGGCAACAAGGGCACCACCGACGAGGAGCTGGAAAAGACCTTGGACAAGATAATGGTCCTGTTTCGTTTTATACACGGCAAGGACGTTTTTGAAGCATTCTACAAAAAGGTTAAAGACACTATAAATATATTTAGTATTTAAAGAAATTATAATTTGATCTTTGCAGGATTTGGCCAAACGCTTGCTGGTGGGCAAATCAGCTTCGGTTGATTCCGAGAAGAGTATGTTGTCGAAATTGAAACAGGAATGCGGAGGCGGCTTTACTTCGAAGCTGGAGGGCATGTTCAAGGACATGGAATTAAGTCGTGATGTGAATTTGGCTTTTCGCGGTCATACGCTTAGCAATGATCGGGATGTAACCAATCTGGACTTGACAGTCAGCATCCTAACCATGGGCTATTGGCCAACATATGCGCCCACTGAGGTCACAATGCCACCACAGTTTATCAATCCCCAGCAGATATTCAACAAGTTCTATCTGGAGAAACACAGCGGGCGAAAACTTCAATGGCAGCCTACTCTGGGCAATTGTGTATTGCGGGCACATTTCGATGCGGTAGCTGAAACGTTTAGATTGCCAACATTTTAGGGCGACATAAACTTGTACATTTATATTAATATATTATATTTGTATTGCAACACACAGGGTCCCAAGGAGCTGATGGTGTCGCTGTTTCAAGCGCTCGTTCTGCTGCTGTTTAACGACAAGCCTACGCTCAGCTACGAGGAGATCTTGGCTGCCACCAACATTGAGGATGGTGAGCTGCGACGCACACTGCAGTCACTAGCATGCGGACGTGCGCGTGTCATTACCAAAACGCCGAAAGGCCGTGACATTGAGGATCGGGATCAATTTGATTTTAATAATGAGTTCGTTAACAAATTGTTCCGCATCAAGATTAATCAAATTCAAATGAAGGAAACGGTAAGCTAAAGTTGTTATAAAAATATAAGTCAACCAAGCTAAAACAAAACTTATTGCAGAACGAGGAGCAAAAGGCGACGGAGGAGCGCGTTTTCCAGGATCGCCAGTATCAGATCGATGCGGCTATTGTGCGCATTATGAAAATGCGTAAGACACTGAGTCACAATTTGCTCATCACCGAGTTGTTCAACCAGCTAACCTTTCCCGTTAAGGTGCGTAGACTACTAATTAGGCTGATTGAATGGCTTTTATATTTGTTTTTGCTTCTTATCTCCCTAGCCTGCTGATCTGAAAAAGCGCATTGAGTCGCTAATTGATCGTGATTATATGGAGCGAGACAAGGATAATCAAAATCAATATAATTATGTGGCATAAATGTGCGAAGGATCACTTTTATTTTTGGCCAACTAACACAGCAACACAAACATACATATGCACGCACACACACATACACACACTTGAACACACCTCTACACACACAGAAAGATTGTAGGTTTTCTCTCTATTTTTGTTTTGTTTCGAATACGAGATCAGCGAAAAAAAAATTCATTTGGTATCTGCGTGCAGCGAGCGTCTGGAACAAATATCAATTACCTATTGTAGTTCATAGCTGTTCACACATGCTGAGCCCACACGAAAGTTTCGTTTGTGGTGGCGAGTGTAGTTGCTGCAAATTGTTTCCCTTTGTAAGTTAATACTGTATCATCTAATAAATTAGGCGTTTTATTTACGAAAACTAACAGCAAACGTTTGTCTCTCCTCACCGAGAGGGATATATAAATATATACATATATATCCATATATCAAGATATCGTCAAGAGCATCCTTTTACTGAAATTTATGAGAAAAGAACGATAAATTCTAAACATTGTGTAATTTTTGCTAAGAGAAGGGAAAAGAAAATAAATTGTATATCTTTGTTGGATTTCAGAAATTTGATTAGATTCGATGCTGAGAGTAATTTCCCTTCGCATAACAATAGAAGAAACATTTGCAGGCTAATATTAATAGAATACTTAAATAAATAATGAAAAATTGTACACGTAATTCTGCATCTGTATGTAAAACAGATGCGCATAAACTAGATCGTTTTTATTTATGATTTTTTCGATAAATAAACAAAAAGAAATACTTGTATACATATATGTATTTAATGGAGTTTTTATTGCTGCTTCCTTGAGTTTCAATCGGTTGAGAGTTGGCGCATCTACCGGGCGACTAGAAATTTCGGCAAGTGTTCGCCTAGAAGTTTCTACGGTGTACTTACGATATTGGCAACGATTGATGACGTCATACATGCATCTACTTAATACTTTTGCAACTTGAATATATCGGTCAATGGCAGCTCTCTGGTATGGCTTTACATTACCGCACCTTTGAACAGAAATCTGAGAGAACGAATACTACTTGAAATGGAATGATAAACCTTTGACAAGAATCAATATAACAAGATCCCATGGCTCACTTTTTTTTTACCCCGGATATATAGAGAAGATAATTTGACATTTTATCAACTTTGTTTATTATGAATATTATTTCATACACATATACACCTCGATAAAGCCATACGGTTCAGAATAAAAACAATGAAAAATGCCAAAAATTATCAAAATTTTATATCAAACACTTGCAAAGCAATTCATAAAGCAGTCAGGGGCACACAAATGCATATCTTATCTAGTTAATACTTTTTTTTAGACACTTGTAATTGATTTAAAGATTAAACAAAAAGCTGATAAAAATGAAAATATTTTATTGGTATATTACTATATATCATTTAATAATAATTATTATTAATAATAATTCTCCTTGGAATAACAATAAAAGTTACAAATTGCGATCTATTATTAAAGCGAAGACTTAAATAAATGATGAACTAAAATAGACGTAATTTTGGATCTGTCTATAAATAACTAAATCCTTCCATCTTCCGTTTATAAAATTAGTCGTATATATATGTATGTGTGTATATATAAATATAATGCACTATTTTGTGGTCTTTTATTGCTATATCGCTAGAGTAGTGACAAATATTATGGAGGGGACTTTCAGTTTATACTTTTTGATCAATATTTACAATTTAAAATTTAAGAATACAAATAATCATAAAAGGGTAAATTAGAATATATATATATATTAGTTATAGGTATATGCTTATGTACAAAAACATAAAATAAAAAATAATAATTTGAATAGAAGGGGGCTCAGCGGGCCACGTGTTTTTTGAAAACGCGTTTCGCAACCGAACTCAGACGCAAATCACGAGGCTAATTTCTATCACATTTTCTGATCATTATCGATTTTAGCAAGCAAAGTCCATATACATTTCTGAAAAAGTTATCAACGGCTTATAAAATCCTTATACAAAAATATGTCAACATTTTAATTACTTTTCGAGCGAGTCTCTTTCTAGCCAAGGAAAGGAGCAACAGAAACTAGCTTCGCTTACGCCTCCACGCTATTGACACTATACTGGGAGCTATCGTATTCAGATACATTGTCCGAGCCATATCCAGGAAAACCGACTGTCGACGGCCTGGCGCTGGTCTGTGTGGTTGTAGCTCGGAGCACGTCCGGTATGTAGGCGGGTGCGGGGCCGGCTATTTCCACAATACTTGGACGTCGCGTGGCCGCACAACGTTTGATCGGCGACATGAAGATAAACAGTGTTACGGTTATAGCTAGCGTGATGATCAGTATCAGGAATCTAGCCATGCCGTCATCGCCACGGAAATAGCATATCATGGCCATAACCAGCACCAAAATGAGTACCGAAAACTTGGTCATGGTCACCGCTGTGGAATGAATTTTGCCTCCCTTCCGTGATATCATATTGGATGGTCCATAGGCGAAGTACAGATTGTAGCGATCCACCATATGCTTGAGACATATATAGATCATGGCGAATGGCATGATCAATGGGCAAAACACGCTGTACACTATCGATATGGTGAAGACGAGTGTGGTCCAGGCGTAGTGCGTGCCAAATGGGAACTCAATCAATATGGATTTACGTATATAGGGCGTCTCCGCCTTGGAAGTGGCCTTCAATAACGCCCAAATGTAGACAATGAGCTCCGGGAACCGTAATAGCTCCAACGAGGTACCAATAAAGGCAGCAGTTATAATATAGTTGACATAGAAGGAGCCACGATCCGGCAAGAAGATGCACTGCCAACGCCCCGTGTCGTTCGTCAGGCCCCACTCCAGAAGTGCCTGCGCCGACGTCAAACCCAATGAGGGCAGGATGAGAATCATCAGCAGCAGGTAGCCAAAGCATTTGCACATTATCGAGTAGTTCTGTTTGGATCGCGTGTAATGGCCCATCCATTTATCTGATATAGAGACAATCACTGGCATCAGTGCCGACAGCGTCCACAGCATCAATGTGGGCAAGAACTCAGAGACAAGTGGCGAGATTTTGCTCTCCGTATCCAACACCCACGGACGACTGTTCAGCAAATTGACCACCATGGCCGGTGTTGTCAGGAAGAACAGGACTATGAAGAGCACAACGTTCACGCACACAAATTTCAAATACCAATGGCTCTTGTTGACATTCAGGTTCTCCCAGAAGATATCATCCGGCGAGGGTGCGAACACGATGTGCCATTGCCTATATGTGCCAGGTGTGAAATGATTTACAATATTCTGTGCCTCCTGCACCGTGGACACGGTCAAGAAGGCAATATCCAAGGGCTCATTCAGCGTTGAGGCACGCAAACGTGCCACATCGCCAGAGAGCTTACGCTCTTCGCGTTGATAATACTCGTAGGCATTCTCCTTCTTGCACGAACACATCTCCGGCTTGGCCATCAGCGTGTCCCGGTCCCGATGATGTTCACAGTAGACACGCGCTTCGTGCACTCTCTCAAACTCCGCATTGCGCACGAAGAGACGTGAAATGTTGTACGCAATGCTTACGCTCTCGATGGTGACATCCGGAAACAGCTCCTGCATATAGTTGCGTATGACTGTCTTGTTCCGATCACTAAAAGCAAAGGGAATTTATTAAATATATATTTAATTGCAAATTATAGCAGCTCGTTCAACCTGTTTGATATATTTGATATCATGATGGTGCGCGTGGCAGCCTTCTTGAAGGCGTTGCGACCCGAGGAGCGCCGCATGATGAGCACCACCAGCGGTATATACAGGATGGTTATGATGGTGTGTACCCACAGCCAGGGTGATTCCGGCCGCAGATTGGCCATTGTGGTGCGTCCAAAGGCATTCACATCGTAAAGCTCGTCGCGCGGGCCATTCAGAAAGTTGATTGGCAAGATGATAGCTAGCGAAATGACGGTGACCACCGCCATGACAGCCATCATATGCTGCTGAAAGGACAAATAATGAACGGCATCCGGACCGGAGTGCAGCAGAATTGTTTCCTTGCGCAGCTTCAAGGTCACCCGAATCCAATTGAAGAGACCCGGTTCGGTTTGGATGGGCGACAGCGGTGTCGAGTCGCTCTGCTGGGATGTTGTGCTCGGCCGGGGCATTGGATTCGAGGGATTCGAGGGATTTGACGTGCTCGGCTGTGGTTCCACAACGCTGGCGGCTCGGGAATAAAATATTTCCGTCCAACGCTTCTTAGTCCCATTGGCATTGACCAGAGCCAGACGATAGTCGCTCGCCTGATGTCGCAGCATCGTAAACAACAGAATGAGCAGCACCCAGAAGATTGTGTTCAAAATCAAAGTCTCCGGTATACCATTGTAGGCGCTGATGAAGAGTGTGGTGCGATTACTCGCCTGGCAATAGGTGTTGTTCTGGTAGCCATTATCGTGCACCGTAATATCCATTTTCGTAAGCTAACCCTCTGATCACAATTCAACAAGTTAAATGGCCAAGAGCGGGTGAATCACTGCAATGGTAAGGCAAAACGCAAAGAAACATTCACGCATTAGAGAACAAACATGGACTCTTCTGTTTGCTGACACCTCGGCCAAAGCCGAATCGTGTGATATTGAAAAAAAAAAGAGGAAATAAATCGGAGATAAGAAACCGGCTGCGTACAAAAACACAGCAGCGACAACCACCCTCAACTTTTGATTACTTTAATTTAATGGGTATTATGAAGTTGTCACTGAATAAGTTGTAGGATTTCTTTAAGTACAAATATTTAAATATAAATTAAATACTAGCAAATTTGAGCTTGAAATTTGAACGTGTTTTTTATTTTATTTTTAAATTTTTTCTCTTTAAAAAGTTGTATGGTATATTGCAAAAATAAATATTTTCCATTATTAAATAAAAAGTTTATTTATATTTATATTAATTATATTTGTAATTTATTTATTTTTAAGCCTCCATCAATCTCTATAATTCAATAGCAATAAGGAGGAAATAAAACCTATTGTTCCCGTTATTTA